TGAACAGTATTTTTGAGGGGTAGTTTGGTCTAAAAAATTATCTCAAAAAATCATTACACAGTGTTAAGTTAAAATATCCCTTCTCAGTATAGTTGAGTGGGGTTTGTTGGTAAAAGTATACAAAAGGGAGGTATTTTGCAAGTGAGTAATAGTTAAGCGGAATTTTTTGCAATTTACCCTTTATTTTATTTTACACAAATTTAAAAAATCTATCTAAATTTCGTAATTAAACAATGAGTGACCATACATCCTGCTATGAGAACTCCGTAACTTGTTTTTAAATAATAGTTTATCTATAAAAATTTAGCTTAGATTCTTACTGCTAATGCCAATTTTGTATGTGAATTCGTCATTAGGTTGCTGGGTGGAGTTTAACCTCCTCTTGACCTTCTAGATCCCATAAAAGAAAAGAAAGTTTCTGATATCATTTTATTGACACGTGTTATAACACATGACTTTGATTTTCCTTAATTTATTTCTCCATCCTCGTTGGAATTTTTACTTCTTAGTCATGGCTGCTTTGTGTAGTCACATGAATGGTACTACGGTAGGGGTAGGTTCTCGTCTTTATTACTCCTACATATACTGTTAATGACCAATCATACTATATTAATGCAGATTAAAGTCGGTCATCAAATTCTTCAACATAGTTGAACACCGTGTATATATAATACTAGGTATATGTATATATATATATATATATATATATATTTCGGAAGGTCCTACTAAATAATATTTGTCAACAAAAAAAAGCTGATGATAATGAGAGTTTGGGTGCAATTTTCAAACATATATCAGTCTTCAATATCGATTAGTCTATTGACCGGCTGACGCTTTTGAAGCTTCTGTTGATGTACGTGATGAGGTGAGGGTCATCTTCTAGTCAATTTATTTTTATTTTTTTATTATTTATTTATTTTTGGGTAAATAGATACTTTTTAAAGTTTGATAAAAAGACACTCAATTAAAAGTTTACTTATTTTGAAACAACTATACCCCTTGTAAAATTTACCATTTAAACGTAACCTTAAAAACATGTGAAAAGACTTTTACCTTTCACTATTTTATTAATCTTAATTATAAAATATTAAAATATTTAAATGACCAAATTACTCTCAACACCCAATCAATTCAAAAACCCAACAACCAATTCCGACGCCACCACCACACCAAAATCCACAGCCACCACCATCCCCACCGCCACCATCTATACCCCAATAACCACCCAAATTTATTTTAGCTGTTGATTCATAACTAGCCTTCACCCCTTACCACTAATCATCACCACCAATTAATTACAAAGTCAAAGCCAAAAAAAAGAAAAAAAGAAAAAAAAGAGCAACCTATTTACAGAACAGTGAATCCATCACCGTCGGATTTTTCTCTCTAGCCGTCCTTGCTCGCCTGCCGCCATCATCCAAAGCTGATCTCGCTGTCGCCACCATCCATGGCCAAGTCATGACATCACCGTCTTCAGCTTTGCACATCACCGAGCTTGCCGCCGCCTCCATCATAGTCAACATCATCAAAGCCGAATCTCTCTGTCGTCACCCTCATCTACGCCGCCACCGATTCATCTCTGCCATAGCCCATCACTGCCATCGCCCATCAGAGGAGGCAAAGTCGGCTTTGGAGCTGAGGACAATAACGGCGAACTTGCATCTGCCATATCCGTCTAGACCCACCTGTTGAAGAAACCGGCGACGCATGTCCCCACCAACACAGCTCCGGTTCTGCCTATATTGGATACGATGGCTCCCGGACCGTCCCTAACTCTGGCGCTTGCCCCTAGACCGAGAGGACCTCACAACACTTCACTGCCAATCTGCTTGTCTTCTTCATCGACAACGTCTTCGATCCGCCTTCGATGTGCTTGTCTTTGATATGCCATATAAGAGAAGAGAAGGAAATAAATGGTTATGGTTATGAGGTTATAATAATCATTTCAACATTTTAATTGGTCAACATAAAAGTTAAAGGGCAAAAATGTTAATTTATTACCATTGGGGTGTCTTTGGTAGCTGTATCAAACTTGAGGGAGTGTCATTGTCTCAAAATATGCAAACTTGTATCTGAGTGTCCTTTTGATAAAACCTCACGAGTGTCATTGTACTTTGCCCCTTTTTTTATTTTTTTATTTTTATCTTTTTCCAAGTCTAAAATTCTTGGACACTTTTTCTAAGTTTTTATATGAGTAAATTGCAAAAACACCCATAAAGTAATGATGAAATATAGGTTTTATTTTTTTGCTCTTTTAAAAATATCTATGGGAATGTGTATGCTAATAATCTCACAGTAAAAGTGTGTTACGTGCACATTAAATATATTTAACCCATTTTTAAAGATTGTCTCTCATCTGTATTACTTGTCTTGGAGTTAATTATTTTACATTTAGTAAGATTTAATGTCATTCATGAAAGTTCTAATATATGTATTCTTTTACATATCAAACGAAAATAAAAATATATATGTTTGTTCTCACAATTGTTAGATTAATGTACATTATATTATATGCAATGAAAACTTCAATTCTTTCTATATATATATATATATATATTTCCAATTAAAATTTAATATAGTTATCTTTTTTCATTATATATATAGTTAAAAAAATTAAATTAAAAAAACTTATTCATTAGGAATGTAATACGTATTGTAAACATAATGCATAGATTTTTTTTTATGCTGTACCCGTATTTATCTATCCTAGGTACTTACTTCGAATGATCATTGAGTAAATGAGTTTTTTCTGATTTCTAGATGTTTGTTTGTCATTGATTTATGTGATGTGATATATTTATATTCTTGAATTATTTTCAATCTAATGGAATTATGGGATGAATAGCTTTGAGATTATAAATTATTGTTTATATTTATATATATATATAAATAAAATTTATTAATATTTTATTATCGTATCATGTGTTTTCATACCGTATCGTAGTATATGTTTTTTTCTATGCTAACAGCTTCCTGCACCATATAATTCCCTAATCTTTGTTGAGTGATTAGGGGAGTTCAATGAATCACGTTGATGCCAGGGATTTATTATCAAGTTACTGTAACAACTTCTACATTTTGTAAATCAAATTTGTCCATTTGCCCTCACACTTGTCACAAATGACCACTGTGTCCATTTATAAGCTCAGTTGCGGTCGTCTGCTCATCATTATTAGTAGCACCATCCATGAATGGGCTTTCATTCATTACCATGGAATGAGTTTAGTTTATTCAAATAAAGGAGAGATTGTTTGAAACTAAAGTCAGCGGTTCATATTGTCCGTCGGCCACACTTCAAATCGAGGTCATCTTTACTTTTAACTTTGTGCACCCCCCAAATGTGCCCACTGTCATAGTGGTAAGTTACGATATAATTCGTTAGTACGATTTGAATACGATACAAGACAAATAAATTTAAGTTGACTTTAAATGAGTTTGTGTCATAAATAAGTTGACACGATTAATTCGTTTACTTAATCTTGTCATATTAAGAGGGAGGGGTTCAATTCATGTAACCTATTTATACTCGTTTAACTCAACATGTCATAATCATGAATACGACTTATGTATTATGTTATTTATTTAAACCCAATTATTATGAACAGTTAAATCATTTCAATATTAACATTGATTATGCCTTATGATTTTTCTTTTTATTTTGAATATTTTTGTTAATTGTGATAACAAATTTCTAGTATTTATTATTTGATTGAGTATTAAATTTCCCGTTTTGATAAACAGGTTATTAATCAGTTTAATAAACAAGTCGGGTTAGTGTTGAAGATTTCTGACACGATTATTAAATGTGTCAAGTATAAATTTATCTATTTAGTTGAATATTTAACACGACACGATTATGAATTTATGATCTACTAATACGAATTGCCACTCCTAATCTCATCTCTCTATTTGGCCTTTCACGTGGTTCTATGGTAATTTTTTAGTATAATTATTTATTCTTGATTATTAAGACTCTTCTGAAACTTTTGTTGGCTGCTGTTTATTTAATTTGATAAACCGCAAAATGGTAGGTGGTCTTCAAAGATTTGTTTCTCATTTTTTCCATTTATTTATTATTATTATACTTGTTGTTTCAGCTTTCCTCAGCTTGTATGCCAGGAAGATAAATCCTCCCCCGGAACGGATTTTTGGGATGCAATTGTTTGAATGGAATAGTTGGGCTGACACGTTGTGGTCTTTTTATTTTCGGCCTCCACTATTTATGTTTTCAATCCTAATTTCATTCCGCTCCAAAATCATTTAAGCGTCCGTGGACTGTGGGGCTCACAGTTGGCGGTTGGATTTGGCATGGAATAGGGTTATGCACATCCAACTTTTATGAGAGACGGTAGGCCACCAACCGCAATCACAAACCCATTTTCACTTCCACACTCTCCATTTGGCATCCCAATAAACGTGCTCACTCGAACTCACATCTTTATTATTTTCTATTATCAAAATCAAACACGTGGACTCCTCTCTTTTGTAACAGAGGGCTCCAATAAATGGTACCGACAACTTGAATCGAAGATGCAAACAATTGTAAAAATACAGCCCTCATATAACATCATTCCACGTATATATGTATATATATAAAACATTACAATATCATTAAATAAAAAATAAAATAAAAAGATTATTACAATCTCAGTTTAACAGTACTGCTTGTACAGTGAACTAGACTATTTTGTGCAAAGGGAATGATCTAGATGCATGTCTAAGAGAGAACCAACATAATCAATCTTGATGCACATTTAGTTTTAGTCAACAGCCTAAGAAAGAAAATTACACGAGACGAATAGAATAATTAATAGAAATTAAATCTTTTATATTAGTAATATAAAAATAAATTATAATACATGAAACGTGCACATGACCAACATTGACAAATTGAACCTAGGCAAATTCAATTTCTCATGTTCCCATTAACCCATGCCTGATGTTGGCATCTATAAAAGGAGTGCATCACAAGAGATGAAGGATAGCCAATCCAAGAAAAAATAGAAAAGGAGTGGCAGAGAGAAATATATATATATATATATATCAAAGAAAATATCATCAATGGCTACTACTTGTTGTATCCCTGTGATTGATATGCAAGATTTTCCTGGAGAATCTGGGAAACTAGTAGCAGCATGTGAGGAGTGGGGATGTTTTAGGATCATCAACCATGGCATTCCCGCCACTATGCTGTCTGAGATGCAGTCCATTTCCCGATCTCTCCTCGACCTCCCGGTGGAAACCAAACGCCTGTATGGTGAGGCGGTGGGCGGCAAGGGGTACAGTCCACCTCTTGAGGCCAGTCCTCTTCTTGAGGGATTGGACGTTTATGACATGGCCTCCCCTGGAGCTGTCAATGCCTTGTGCTCTCACCTTCATGTCTCTCCTCACCAAAGGTATTGCCACCACATGCAACCAATATGTTATTTATGAGACTCACAAGATCTAACGACTGATGTTGCGCAACGCTTAGCATTTCTCATATGTTATATATCAACTTTTATTTAATTAAATGTTGTATACACAACTATTTCTTTTGCTTTGTTAGCAACAAAAACTGCTATATGGCCCAAAATAGTATACTTCTCATATTATATAACTAGAGCAAATATGTAGTTTTGTTAACTAATAATACATATTGAACCTGATTTGGATTTCCAATTTTTTATTTTTTATTTATTTTTATTTTTATTTTTTACAGGGAGACAATAATGAAGTACACTGAAGCTATACATGAGCTGGCCATGACACTTGGAAGTAGGTTGGGAGAGAGTATGGGGTTTAGCAGTGATATGTTTAAGGGATGGCCATGCAGATTTAGATTAAACAAATACTATTTCAGTCCTCAAACTGTAGGATCAACTGGTGCTCCGATGCACTCGGATGCCGGATTTCTGACCGTAGTACATGATGATGAAATAGTTAATGGTCTGGAAGCCGTGAACAAGAAGACTGGTGTACTTTTCCCCATCGATCCAATGCCAGGGACCCTCCTTGTCAATGTTGGTGACCTTGCTAAGGTTAGTCAAATGGCCACGTGCCCAATTGTCTGTTTGGATTACAAGAAAATATTAGTCCTCTTGATTAATGTGGGGTGCAACAAAAGCTCCCTTACAAAACGCACGCATGGTTTCTACTTGATGATATCATTTACTACTATAAAATATGTCTCATTTACTGTTTTCATCCTTCCCCTTTCATAGCAGCAAAGTAGATGTGTGATTGACAAAAGAAAATGCAAAAAATTATGTTTTGTTTTTTAATTTAGCCTTCTGAACATATATATATATATATAATGATTGATGTGAACAGGCCTGGAGCAATGGAAGATTTTGTAACGTGAAGCATAGAGTGCAATGCAACGAAGGAACAATACGAACATCAATGGCTTGCTTTGTGTTAGGACCAAAGGAGGAGAAAGTGGAAGCACCAGCTCAGTTGGTGGATTCTGACCACCCGCGTCTCTTTATTCCTTTTACTTTTCAAGAATATATAAGTCTCCGGATGTCCACCAGATCACCAACTGGTGAAGCTCTTCAGCTTTTGCAAACCGCCTCCTCATGAAATATTATGGAAGAAATTTACCAAAAATATATATATATATATCATGATGGTTTAGAATACCAATGGGAGCAACGTATTATATTAATTAGATACATCTAATTTTTATTATTACATTTTTGAATGTTAAAAGAAAGTAAGGTTATATATTTTCTTGTAATCATAGAATAAATCTATAATAAAGCTCTCATTCTGGTTTTCCTTTTCCCAAAATTTGGATTACTCGACCATTTCTTTCTAAATGGCTTTTCTGTTTAGAAAGTTTTTTTTTGTTTTTTTTTCGGTCTGCACAATATACAAGGGCATACATACCCCAGGATCCCAAAAAAAAAAAAAAAAAAGATAAAATCAAGCCCACTGAGTAGGGTAAAACCAAACCAGGCTACACAGATACAGAACTAAAATGTTAAACCGGATCAACATGAAGCCCAGCCAAGATAAGAACATCTCATCCAGGCCCAACTCACAGCAGCCCACAGCCCGAGTCGTATGCACCAACTACCACAGGAAACAGAACTTCAAATTTTGACCTAGGCGGGCAAATCAACAAACCAGAGAGCATCACAGATGGGTTAGGCAAAGGAGAAGAAGGGGTTTTGGTGGGATGGATCAAAAAAGGAGCTTGGAAGGTTCAAGTGAATTGCAATTAGTTATATATGTAAAGAGGAGATTCATGTAATAATAAGATTGTTTCATTGTGATTTGAAGCTCAATAATTCGAAACTGAATACAGGAACAGCAGCCAGTTTTAGAACAATTTTTTTTAATTTCCAAAAATTTTTTTGAAAAGGATTCTATTTCATTGTCATAACATAAAGAAAATGCAAAATGCCTTCCCTCTGTAAAGTTGAGTAATAACCGGAAAAATTACAACTGAAAAAAAAAAAAAAGCTTCAATACTTGGCACAATAAGCTATATACTAGTGGAAGCAGGAGCTAAGTAAACAAACTATTTACATTTGCAGGTAAGCAACAAACCGGTCATGCCTATTATTTCTCGTTTAGAAGTAGTTTAACTGCTAATGCCAAATTTTTATTGCATTAATGTGTACGTGAATCATATTTAATTAAGTTGTTGGGTGGATTTAATGTCCTTGACCATCGAGATCCTTTTCTAAAGAAAACAGAGTTTTTGATCTGATTTTCCTAAATTTATATTCTCCATGGTCAAAAGAATTATTTTGAAATTTTTACCTTTATGAACATATATTTAAAAAGTAGAATTTTCTTCCATGGTAGGTTCTTGTCTTTATTATATACTGTATAAAATTTATGTCCAATAATCGTAGATTGTTAATGCAGATAATCAACTTCAGCCATCAAATTCTTTCAGGTGCTTGAAAACTATAATATTTGCCAACTATAATAAATATATGTGTGTGAATATATATAGATATAAAGAGAGGAATATAAAGAGATGGAGAGAGAGAGAACGGAAGAGAGAGAGAGAGAGAATGAAATTTTTTCTATTCCAACAACACACACCAAGCAGTACATATGCATGGCCCTATATATAGGCGCAGAAACTGGCTTCCTTAAGAAGCTACTACTGAAATCTTCCTCTGGAAGACTCAAGCCATGCTGTCATGAATGACATAATGCATTGTGGGCCCCACACCATTATATATACATAACACTCCCCTTAGGTCCACAATACTGCACCAAGAATATGCCTCATTAAAACTTTGCTAAGAAAAACCCAGTAGGATAAAACCTTAGCGAAGGGAAAAGAATACAATATTCTCGTGTATCTGAACATGATATTGCATAGATTTAAAACTACCTCATTAAAACCTTGCCAGGAAAACCCAGTGGGACAAAACCTGGACGAAGGAAAAATAGTACAACATGCCAATACCCCTTTGATCAATTGCTCCCTCTCATTAGATCAACCCTGAAGATCCTTTAGTTGACGCATTCCAATGTTGTGTACCAGCTTCTTGAATGTTGTAGTTGGAAGCATTTTAGTGAATAGATCTGCTAGATTTTCATATGAACGTATCTTCTGAATATTAATATCACTCCTTTTCTGGAGTTCATGTGCATAAAAGAATTTTGGTGAGATGTGCTTGGTCCTGTCACTTTTAATATACCCTTCCTTCATCTGTGCAATTCATGCCTCATTATCTTCATATAATACTATTGGGTTGGGCTTTCTTTGATTGATGAGAGACCACATATTGTTCGAATATGTTGGATCATTGATCTCAACCAAAAGCATTCCCTGCTTGCCTCATGAATTGCGAGTATCTCAGAATGATTTGAAGACGTGGCAATCATTGTCTGTTTCATAGATCGCCATGATATAGTTGTGCCGCCACAGGTAAACACATATCCTGTTTGTGAATAGGCTTTATGTGGTTCAGAGAGATAGCCGGCATCTGCATATCCAATTAATTGAGAATTTGATGCTTTTGAATAAAATAATCCCATATCAGTTGTACCACGAAGATATCGCAATATGTGTTTGATTCCATTCTAATGTCTGCGAGTTGGTGCAGAACTGTACCTTGCTAATAAATTGACTGAAAAAATTATGTCAGGTCTTGTGCAATTTGCAAGATACAAAAGAGCACCAATCGCACTGAGACAGGGCACTTCAAGACCAAGGAGTTCTTCATCATCCTCTCGAGGACGAAAATGATCTTTCTTGATGTTAAGTGATCAGACAACCATTGGAGAGCTCAATGGATATGCTTTATCCACATGAAAACGTTTCAGAATCTTTTCTGTATATGTTGATTGATGGATGAGAAAACCGCTCGAAAAATGTTCGACCTGCAGCCCAAGGCAGAATTTTGTCTTTCCGAGATTTTTCATTTCGAATTATTTCTTTAAATAAGTGGTTGTCTTTTCGATCTCACCCAATGTTCCCACAAGATTCAGATCATCAACATATACTGCAACAATAACAAAACCAAATTCTGATTTGTTAATAAAAATGCATGGACAAATATGACTGTTCACATACCCTTCTTTGAGCAAGTAATCGCTAAGGCAATTATTCCACATTTGTCCAGATTGCTTCAATCCATACAAGGATCGTTGTAATTTTATCGAGTGCATATTATGTGGTTTTGTTTCAGGCATTTTAAATCCTTCTGGGATTTTCATATAAATATCACTATCTAGTGATCCATATAAATATACTGTAACCACATCCATTAGATGCATATGCAATCTTTCTGTGACTGCCAAATGTATTATGAATCTAAAAGTTGGGTGCATCAATCACATGGGAGTATGTTTCCTCATAATCAATACCAGGTCTCTGTGAGAAACCTTGAGCTACAAGTTGGGCTTTGTATCTCACTATTTCATTTTTCTCATTACGCTTTCATACAAACACCCATTTGTACCCAACGGGATTAACACCCTTAGGTGTCTGGACTACTGGTCTAAATACTTCACGTTTAGCTAATGAATTTAGCTCTGCTTGTATTGTTTCTTTCCATTTTGGCCAATCATTTATTCGTCGACATTCTTCGACGTTTTGAGGTTCCGGATCCTCATTATCGATATCAAGAGCAACGAGATATGAGAATATGTTGTCGACAACAATTTTATTTCTATTCCATCTCGTTTCATAATTTAATGAGATCTCATCATTTTCAGGTACCTTTGCCTCATCAAGGGCATGTGCCTCATCAAGGGCCACATCATCATCTGTTGCTTTTGCCTCATCAATATTTATTATTTCATCATGTTTAGGTACCTGAGACTCATCAAGAGCCTCTGCCTTATCAAAGGCTATTGTTTCAGATTGATCAATAATATCTGTTACTCCTTTTGTGGCCTCTTCAGGAGTGCCCGTTTTTCTTTGTAATTTCCTTTTACGAGGAGTGGTATCTTTTGCGCCAACTGGTCTGCCATGCTTCAGGCGTGTTTTAGATGCATTTGCTGTATTACTAACAGAAGGTCCCTCAGGGACAGTAATTCGTGCTGGCACATTTGCAGCTGGTATATGTGATTTTATCACTTTCTTTGTATCAGTAAATGCATCAGGTGATTGATTTGCAACATTTTGCAAGTGAATGATCCTCTGAACTTCTCGTTCACATTGGTTTGTACGAGGATCAAAATGAGACAATTCTAGGGCATTCCAAGTAAGATCACATTGCTGCTGTGCCTTTTTTCCCCCTAATGGTGGGAAAACAGTTTCATCAAAATGACAGTCAGCAAATCGTGCTTTAAAGATATCACCTGTCAGGGGTTCAAGATATCTAATAATAGATGGAGAATCAAAACCAACATAAATTCCAAGTCTACGTTGAGGACCCATTTTAGTGCGTTGGGGTGGTGCAATAAAAACATAAACAACACAACCAAAAACTCGTATGTGGGAGATATTTGGTTTGTTGACCAAAAACAAGTTGCAATGATGAGTACCTATGATAAGCAGTTGGTCGTATACGAACTAATGATGCAGCATGCAATATGGCATGACCCAAGACAGAAGCAGGTAATTTTGTTCGAATAAGCAAAGGATGACCAATCAACTGAAGTCTTTTAATAAAAGATTCAGCCATACCATTTTGAGTATGAGTGTGTGCAACAGGGTGTTCAACATTAATTCCAATTGACATGCAATAATCATCAAAAGCTTGAGAAGAAAATTCAGCGGCATTATCAAGACGGATTGTCTTAATTGGGTAATCAGGAAAGTGTGCCCGTAATTTGATGATTTGAGCAAGAAGTTTAGCAAATGCAACATTACGAGTAGAAAACAGACAAACATGTGACCATCGTGTTGAGGCATCAATTAAGACCATAAAATAGCAAAATGGTCCACAAGGTGGATGAATTGGCCCACATATATCCCCGTGAATTCGTTGCAAAAATGGGAGAGACTCAACAATGACTTTTAAAGGGGATGGTCTGATAATTAACTTACCTTGTGAGCAGGCAGTGCATAGATGATTTGGTAAGATGATTTTTTGATCCTTTAGTGGGTGTACATATGAATTTTCAATAATTCGACGCATCATTGTACTCCTTGGGTGACCAAGTCGATCATGCCAAAGCATAAAAAGTTTTGGGTCATAAGATTTTTTATGGATCACAGCATTTGACTCAATTGTTCTAATAGTTGTATAGTATAACCCAGAATAGAAAACATGGAGTTTTTCTAATATCAGTTTCTTGCCTAAGGTAATGGAAGTAATATAGAGATATTCCACATTTCTTTCATTTGCAGTCTCAATATGATACCCATCATCGATTTGTAATCTTGTTCCATATGGTAAAATGACGTTGGCTCGTCCGGAGCCTTCAATCAAGTCGGTAGGACCTGATATTGTACTTACACTAGCGTCTGTCAGAGTTAAATGGGAAAAATATTTTTGATCTCGAAGGATTGTGTGTGTCGTTCCACTATCTACAAGACATATATCTTTTCCATTTATTTTGGAACTAGTCAGATCCGTTCCTATTCATGCAAATTTCTTTATCAGAAAAAAAACTTTTATAACAAAAGAAACTTTAATACAAACTAGAAAATAAAAACTTTAATACAAGGAAAATAAAAACATAGTAGACAAAATATGAAAAGAAAATAAGATTAATTGGTGTGAACATTTCCATCACTAATTAGGAATCTATCTTTTCATCACGGTCCTAAAAGAAATCTGATACATCCAAATTTATGATGTTAACAGGCTTATTATGATCAATGAAATTCATTTCTAGATTTGTGATGTCAACTGGCTCATCATGATCAAAGAAAT